TTTGCATTTTGGCTGGAGCTGTGTGGAGCCTGGATTTGGGCCCAGGGGTACCTGTGGGTTCCTTCCAACTGGGGATATTCTACAATTCTGTGCTTCGTAATCAGCAGAAACTCTAGACCCATAAAAACAGTGCTTTGTGAAGTACTGTCAGAGAATGTAATTGGACTGGGATAGAGGAGAAATGTGAGTTGTGTCTAGCATGAAATTATATAATTCTTGTCCATTTCTTTCCCATATTTGCCATCTTCAAAAGTCTCTGAAAAAGAAGACAAAATGAAAAGCACACAGGTGCTGCTAGAATATAGCAGGGGGGATTGGAGGAGGGGATGGGGGCTCGGGGGGAAGGGCAGTAACATCCCTGCAAACACCTGAAGGAATATTTCAGCATTATTTAAATTTTTATGTCTTTAAAAATTAAACACGGAATAAGAAGAGTATTGTTTATGCAGAGATGCTGTTTGCCTTAGTGTTATTAGTTTTCATCAAAAAATAGTAACTTAATAGTTTAAAGAGAGACATACAACAATCAGAAAGAGAATCCTGCTTTATGTTCTATTGATAGTTCCCTGCATGGAAATTATAGATGTGAGATTCCTTAGGGAGTTCAATGCTAACATAAATGCCAATACAATAATAGATTTTGAAGATTATTGTTTTGAGATAAATTTGGGAACCCAGCACCATTTAAGTCTTATAATTTCTAATACATATCTGCAGTATTTTTCTACTTTCAAAGTAGAAGATAAATAAATACAGAATAATAAAAATAGAATAGTAAATTCAGGGTATGTTTTCCAAATTTTATAGTCTGAAGCTTCACTGAATACTTGAATCTAGTGCTTCAAAAATCTATCCAGCTAATATTTAAAGTACCATTCCAAAATGAGAACTGTTTTATGCAAAGGTAAAGTTTATTATATTCAAGATTGTGTATTGTAATTTTTAAAAACAAAACTCTAGACCAACACATTTTAGGGAATGTTTCTTCTTTTCCCTAATTGCAAATGTATATAGTGTGTTCTGTTTTCAGAGAGAAATGTTACTCAGTCATTTCTTTTTCAACTAGATAAAGACAATAAATATCAGGCATAAAAATTCAACCATTCAACACAGAGATAAGATTTTAAATGTAAGTATTGAGCAAATTCATGATGCCTGTGTGACCATAATGTCAGAAAGAGTAATGTCAAAGATAGTTTTGTTCAGGAAAGAAGAAACAGCTGAAAGCACACATCATGTTTTCGAATAAAAATCAACACCAGTTTTCATGTTACACTGATACAGTTTTAAATACCTTTCAGTGACAGTAAAAAACAGCAAATTTGAAATTACTTCTGGTAGACACTTAAATACATATTCATGTCTCTTTCTTAGTTTAACTAAGAAAACTAAGAAAACTTTCTTAGTTTGCCTAGGTCATAGCTCCAATAGGTGTTGTGCTTTATGGAACATGAACCATGTATACAGAAAGGGGTACTCCAGAGCACAGACTCTTTTCCACAAACCACTTCCCTTCTGCTCTTCCTGGTAATGTGCAAGCTCTGGCAAACATCCCCAGAGCTGCTCATTTTTTTCTGAACACAGCAATGCTTTGTTTTCTACGCTTTAGTAAGGAAGATGTCAAATCTTAAATCTGGTTCCCAAACCAATCATACATTTTTCTACCTGCTTGGAAGCTGTATAATCTGGGCCCATCATAACTAATGACTCAGTAGAAGCAGTTATGGGAAAATTGCTGACAAATATGCTTAAAGCAACTTCTTGGAAAACAAAGCCTGAGAACACGTGTGGAAGGTGAGCTGCTTTATATCTGACGGCTGCTTTATATCTGAAGGCGTGGTACTCCTATCTGACAGCCCCATTACTGCTGCCAGTAGCACAAGCCACCACCCAACGCTGGGCCGCCATTTCAGAGCCGGGCTGCTTCTACCGTGCAGCAGCACCACCATTTTCCAAAGCCCAGCAAAGAGCAAAGCAAGGACACAGAGAAGGGACACGGAGAGCAGAATGTGACCGAGAGCTACAGGGAGGGAGCCCAGGGGCTGCTGTACACACAGCACCGCGCCGCCAGGAAAGCAGTGCAGCGCCACTGCGAGCGAGCGGCCACAGCGCGGCGCCGCGGCGTGATCGGCGGGTCAGGACCCCGCGCTGCCGGAGCACCGTGGCCGGGCCGGGCGGGCAGCGGGGCCCCGGCAGACGGAGGGGCCGGGGCGGCGGCGGGAAGCCCCCCGCTGCACGGAAGTGGGGCGACCCCTGCAGGACGCCGCCGCCTCCCGGCCCGGCGCCCTTCGCCCTCTCCTCTGGGCCCGGCTCCCCTCGGGCTCCCGGCCCAGCCCGAGGGGTCTCCCCCACCGCTATTAATTCGCAAAGAACCGCGCGGGTTGCACCGCCACCCCTCGCGCCGGCCTCCGCGGCAGGACGTCGGGCGCGGAGCATGCCGGGAGCTGTAGTCCCCAGCCGTCACCAGGGAGAGGAGCGGCGCGCGGCGGGGACTACATGTCCCTAGGGCGCACGGGAGAGAGGGGCGGTGCCGTGGGCGGAGCGCGGACAGCTCCGGTGCTGATCGCGGGGCGGGTTTGCCGGCAGAGTCCGGGTGGGCAGCGGGCGGCGAGCGACAGCGGGACGAGCGGCGGCCGCGTCCGACGATGAGGCACGAAGCGCCCATGCAGGTCGGTGCCCGGGCCGGGGGCGAGGAAGCGGCGGGTGCGGCGAGGCTGGGAGGCGGGAGGTGGCAGGACGGGGCGGGAGGAGACCTAACGAGGAACTGTGGAGCCGCCGGGCTGGGCTCGCAGTCGGCTGCCCGGCACGGCGCTCGGCTGAAGCGGCGGCGGCTCACTGGTTCGGCGGGCGTGGCGTGTGCGGGGCCCGATGGACGAGGGTCCCGGGCATGTCGGGACTCTGCCCGGCAGGTGGGCAGCCCCGGATTTGGGGCTCGGTATGCCCCGACTTGCGCACAGCTCGGTGCCCCAGGCTGCGATCCCACTTGTGGGGTTCGGATCTTCAGGGTGAACAAAGCGGTGCCCTGCAGGTACCGTTAATGCCCTTTGAGCTCTGATCGCAGGCCCCTGGGAGTACGCGAGGGGAAGTTTTCAGGGGATGGTGTGAGGAATTGATGTCTGGGCGTGCAGGAAGTTGACGAGTTGTCTCCACCTGTTTGTTTGCGCCAGGAGCTGCCGTCCATCTCCAGCGGGGATAGTCAGCTCATTAGAGCTGGGAGCAGTGAGGAGGTGGCCTCTTTTCAACCATTTCACATATGAAAGGATATTGCGCCCCTTAGTATGTCAAAAACAAATGATGTGCATGCAGACACAAGTAACGCCGCACAGTTTAAAGCAGTTTCTTGGTAGTTGCTTAAAAACAGTTTGTGCTGTGCAGTTAGCTGTATATTAATTATTTCTCACAGCCCCTTTTATGATCTCTTGTGGGAGCTGTGGGCCCCTAGACTGTATACTCAAACACATGACTGCTTTCTAATAGAAGATTGGTCACATTTGTGGTGAACTGGTAGCAATCAATCTTGCTGATTCTGTACAATGCAAAGAACACTTCTGCAGTCAGTGGTGATTTAAGTTATGAACTGCAGCTCTGTTAGCAAATATTTTTCACGCTGTGTATCTGCTGTCTGTAGTACCAGCTTGAACTGCACTTGTTTTAATATGCATGCTCAAAAAGCAATCTGAAGTCTTAAGTTACGCTGAAGTGGCATTGGGTTTCTTTGACTTTCGACAGAGGACGATAATTTCATAAACATTTTGCAGAGCAATTGCTTGGATGTCATATGCTGAAACATTTCAATCAAATAGGTGCACTACAAATAAACCAGTCTTCATTTAGAATGTTTTTTGGTTTTCTGATTGGAGAACAGCAACAATTAGTCTGCTGTTTAAACTGCTTAGTTCTGCATGCTATGTGCATGCTTTAGGAATATTTATGTGGAATTTGACATCTATTTACATGTGTCTTTTGAAATATCAAAGTCATATTTAGTATGTATTGACTTTGAAGAGCATTTCATTAAAAGCAGATTTTTCTGATGAAAAAAACAGATTGGTCATTCTTGCATTTGGCATTTGATGGGTCACCGGCACTGATAAATATTTGAAAAAACAAAATTGTTGTTCAATTTTAAATAAAATTTGAGGAAAATAAACTCCGTATTTGAATACATATTTAACTGTCATATATCAGAGAACTGCTGCTTATTTTTTATATCTAGTAATCAGTATAAATTGAATTATTGTTTAACAGATAGCATAGTCTCAGCACAAACAGAGACAGTGAACAGATATTTGAAAAAAAAAAAAAAAACTCAAACCACTTTAAGTTCCAGTTTTTCAAAGCTAGAGAGATGGTCAAACAATGTCTGTTTTTAAACAGATATGTTCCAAAATGATAATTGTGTGAAAATGTAGTCTGGCAGATAAAGTTTGATTTTGCCTTGTAGTTTCTGTACATTTTTTTCTTCTACTTACACCATTCCATGTGTAGTTACCTACTATTCTTATTAAAGATTCAAGTAAAACAATATTCTATTGTGGACTTTTCTCCCTAATGTTGCATTGCCTCCTACGGTACTGACCTAAAACCAGGCCAGGACCCCCGTGGGGGGGTCTTGCAGTTGCTGACAACACCCTAATAATCTTTTATTTTTCCAGCTTTCTTGTTCAGATGTGGCTTAGAACTAGCTGGACTAATTGCCTGATTTCCATGAAACAAATACTGTTGCTTCTTTGTACACAATAGCTTTGTGGAACAGTCCGTTCTAGAGCTAACTTCTCTATGAACCATAGTGCAACAGAAAAAGTGATTAAGTGCATGTCTTTTGATCAGGATAAAAAGAAGTTAGAGGAATGTGTAAGCACTGGTTTTGTTGGTGTTTTTTTGTTTGTTTTTTTTTTTTTTTTCCATCAAACATTAATTAAAAAGATAACTAAGAAGTTAAAATGTTGTAGGAGGATAAGAGAAAGGGCCTGTGCATTAAGACTGTCTTTTCTATATTTATGAATTCCTTGTTTGAAACTCAAGCTTATGACATTTCTCTTTAGACAAGAAGAGCCAAAACTTACCAGAAAGTTAGCTCAAACAGTCCTTCCAGAGAAAGAGTTAACCAACATAAAAATTAGCTATTGTCATCTGCTACAGATAGTTGGATCTGGATCAGAGTTTGTGGCTACTTTTGTCACTCTCATGGGCAAATAATTCAAAGATCACTAATGCCATAGAGGTGAGATATAAGTATGGAAAGGGAAACAATCTATAAAGACAATTTAAGCATTTCTGACGCTTTGTCAAAGAAAAAATGAGAACATTTTTTTTCAGAGCACTTCACATCCTGTTGTCACTGACAGTGGTTGTGCTCAGACATAATGGTTTATAACAGACACGTGCAAACACAATGTAAAACTGCAAGAGCAAGTAAAAAGAATCTTTGCAGATATTTAAGAGTTGTACAATTATGATTAAAAAAAAAAAAAAGCCAAATCAGATCTTTTAGACACAGAATTTGGTATGGCAACACATCTCCTGTTGATGAGTAAAAGTATTAGATGTGTCATTCTTGGTTAAGATTAGAAGCACTGGAAAAGAAGCCTGCCAAACCTCTCAGTCCACAGAACAAGTCATATTACCTTTTTGTTAATCATTTGGAATCATTTTCTGTCACAACTTCTATTTGGAAGTCACTTATTTGCCGGTTCCATATTTTCTAAGGCAGCTCAAAGGTACACAGGTCTACTGGTACGCTCAATTCTTCTCAATTCCCAATGACTGTTCCACTGTATGTCTGCCTGAGTAGTTTTCATTCCCTAATGATTACTCAAGGTTACTATCTGTGCATGTTTTACTCTTAGATTTCACTCACAGGAGAAAATTAGGTTAATGAAAAATGGCTGAGAAGTCATGCTTAGTTCACCATAAGCAGATCATCAGAAGTCATGTGCTAAAGCTTTTCCAGAACTGTTCTTTATTGTGCCTTTCATGCTGCTGTCCTGGATAGTAGCCAGCACTGTGGCCATATTCATGCTACTTCTGCTGATACAAAGTTGAGCTTGTTTTAGATTCTCTCCTCTCTGTATCTCCTCAAATTCCCCAACATTTCATTATTATTACTATAATAAAACATCTCTAACAATACTTTTCAGATTGAATGATATGCTTGCAAATATTCATAAATACAACTTCATAATACCTTGAAGTAGATATGCTTCTCCTGATGCTGCAAATTAACTTAGACAAGCTGTATGCTGCAGATGGCCAGTGATCCATAATTCCAAATAAATGATTGTCCACTTAACTCTGTTAAAAATGAGATCACAAGAATGATCTGCAAAGCTTTTTCAGGATTGGCTGTGGCCTGCATCTGTGGATAGTCATGGAACTATTTAGAGAGCATTAAAGTAAGAGAGGTTAAGCATCTTGCTGAAGACATGAGGAAAAAAAGGAAAATGAGAGTCAGAAGTGGTGAAAAAGTCTGAAACAAAACTCAGTCCCCAGATTATTCATCTGGCAGTTTATGTATGAAATCATTCTTTTCTTCATGAGTAGGTCATACAGTCATAGAATAAATGAAATGTTCTTCCATATAGGGATCTTGATAATATCCTAACTGCACTGATGATGACCTTTGATTTGCAGATTCAAGATGCTCACTTGTGGTGCATCCTACATTCAGTCCCAGAAGTTACAAATACTGAATTTTCCACTCGTATTTCATTGTTTCCATTTCACCTGGGTATCTTGATTAGTAATATTTGACAGAAAAGGGGATCCATCTCACAAAAAGCTGCCAGTGCAGAGAGTTGTCTTTTTGCTAAAATAGCTAGTCTTTTTTGAAAGCAATATAAATGTATGTATTTCTACACAATATATAGAAATAAATCCTACTCTTTGAAATAACTATAATTTATTCAATCAGTGTCCATCTATTCTTAGTGTAGATAGAGAGAGAACATTTTCTCCAGGCTTACTCTTAATCTTTTCCTTTAAAATATACCTGTTGATATTATTTTTAATAGTATAGAAAGTAGTTCTGGCATACACAAAAGAGTGAACCTTAGTATTTTCAATCACAGCTTTTCTTTTTGCATTCTCTCTTCCAAGAGCAATTCAATCTGCATAGACATCCAGAGTATGGTTGATGTATATGCTCAAACTGAAGTGATATACAGGCCAGGAAGCACGTTGCCCTGCTTAAGTGAGAAAGCTGTTCAAATTAATTCTATCAAAGAAAAAGGTCCTCTAAGGCCATAGAGAGAAACACAGAAAAGTGTTTTAGCGTTATCATTAAGACCTTTTCAGATTTATTTTCTTGGCCCTGTGGGCCAGGTCTGGGCTCTCAGATCTGTCTTGAGTCCTTCAGGAGGTAGCCCAAGGCTGCTTTTTTTTGCTGAAATCCTGGTGACTGTGAGGATCTAAAGAGGCACTCATGCTGTTAAAAAATGGTGCACAAAATGAGCTAATGGAAACAGCTTTGTGCATCTTCTTTTTAATGTTACTAAATACAGACAAATTTTAATTGGAGAGAAAATTCAGCGTGTTTTGATGAATGTGCTGCATGTTTAATGTAGCCATTTAATCATTTGAGAAGAGAGCTTTGTCAAAATAAAGGTAAAGTTTTGGTTTTCTTGGAAGCAGAAGATTACAGAGCTAGCAAATTTGGCATGTTTATCTGGTTCCTGTCAATATGTGTAGTATTTAATTAATTTGCTTGAGTATGGCTGTTCTCCTACTTATTTCCAGCATTTTTTCCAAAGGAGGGATCCGCATCAGATTTTTCACATTTCTCTGTTAAATGCCTCCATTGTTGAGACAAATCGTGTTAAAAGTGAAGTGCGGTATTATTTTCTCTACAGCAGTGCAGTCCATGCTTGAAACAAGCAGTCTGCACTTAAGAGACAAGAACACTGCAAGAGCACGCACAAATCCCTGCAAGATCAAGCATCTAGGTTTCTCTTCCAGTTAGCAGAAAAATAGAGACTCCTCTACAGTATCATTTAGAGTGGGAGCCTGATGCACACTTTGAAGCTTATTATGAAATGAATGAGCTTTGGGAAGTAATGACAGCAGTGCTGAGTTTGATGTTTCTTCAGGCTGGTGCAGGCAACAGTACTATTCTAAAACTCATCTGAGTTTTGGAAATAGGAAGGGATCATTCACTTGTGATACTCTCAGAAGACTATTTCTCTTTGCTGAAGTTAATCTCTCCAAACAATCTGAACTGTTATCAGTAACTCACTAACCTCCTCATGATTCCCTAGATGGAAAGTGGAGAAATAAGTCCTTTTCCTTGCCTTCCTCTTATACTTTCTGCTACATATAATAGGCAGAAATACTGAAATAAAAGTTTGCTGAGGTTCTTTGTTCAACTTGCCCTTAGTTCTGCATACAGCACTGCAAGTAATGAATCCATAAGTTCAAGGCATAGTGAATTTGCTGAGCTTTATTTTTTAATTATTGTTGAGAACATTTAAAAAAACTGCTGCATGGGTAATGCACATAAATATTAATTTAGAGGAACATTGTTTAAAAGTGTTAATAGGAAATGTTCTTACCTAAGAAAGCAACATGAAGTGCAAGCTTTAGTGAAACTATTATAAGCACTATTATTAGAAACTAGGCCTCTAGATTACTCTGCTCACTGAATCATAACTTTCTAAAGAAGTGTGAGGCACTGAAATTCTTAAGGATTAAATGTAGTACACGTGGGATCCAGCCAGCTGAATATAAGGCTGGCGGGGACCAGCAGGCTTTGTCAAGAGGCAAGCTGAAGAAGCTACATGAAAGTCTTCTTAGGAGAAAAAATCAAGAAAGAAAATGCTTCTTCTTTCTAGAAGTGGTAATTTATGGTTTCAGCTGCTAGATTATGGAAGAGAGACCGAAGAACAGCAGAACAGGCTGTTTGCAAAAGCATAAGGGCTGCTCACAGACATGCCCAGCCACTGCACAGCCTTTGGTTTGGAGGATTTTACTGACTTCCTCTTGTTGTAAGTTGTGCAATACATTAGCACTTTAGTATGTGATAGCCTGCTAAGATTAGACTAGCATAAACACAATATAATTTTCTTTTGCACATGTTCCAAGCAAAATACCCCACATAGTTTTAGAATAGGGGAGAGTGGTGAGGGTGGAGAAGATTTGTTTCTGTACTTCACTGTAGAAATATGAAAGGTGAAATATTAGTGATATTCATTTGTACTTTTTCATTCTAAAATGTTGCACATTTCAGAAAGAAGTGAATAAATATTAAAGCTAATGCAAACACTCAGGATGCAAAGATGTGGTAACTGAGACCAGATTTAGTCAAGAACTTTAATCATTACCAAATAAAAAGGATAAGTCTGAAATCAAACAGTCACTAATGCATTATTTATGAAATATAAATCTTACACTGCATTTTCCATTGAAAGCTTGATACTTCCATTGTCTCCTTCATAACATTTTGTCCCCACTTCTGTATGACTCCCCATATGCCCAGAGAAGCTAGCATAGTGTTACTTGTATTAGAAGACAAAAAATTATCTCAGAAGATTTATGCAGTAATTGAAATTCTGAGAGAATTTCACTGAGTTAGTGTACATCCTTCATCCTTCTGCAATGTCTCAGTTCCAGCTGTCCTTTTAGACTGCCTGAATGCAGTCTGAGATGTCTAATTTAGAAAGCTTTGACACAGGCTGCTTTTTGAGTACCTTTATGTTAGAATAGGCTGTTGCTCTTGCTGTCTGAAATTGGTCTGCAAATGTATTACCCTTATTGCCCAAATGCAAGAATTAAAAATACTGCCAGGTTCCAAAAATTCTTGAGACTTTTCTTAGCATGAGTGAAAAACAGTTTTAAGTTATTGTTTTTGCCAACTGCGTTTTAATCGTTACAGGTAAGATTGTGGCTGAGTTTTCAAGTTAACCTCTGTGACCCTTCTGAAAGTAAAGCATAAAATGTATAATGAAACCTATTATCTTTGAAGCCTCTAAGCAAAATGAATTTGATATTCAGTAGTATTCAGTTTATTCAGTTTTTGTAATCTCGTGTTTTATATGAGTTAGAAGACTTATTTTAAGGATGCAAATATGAAGACATTATCAACTGTCATTTGTTCCCATTCCAAAACTGTACAAGATATGAGAACTGAAAAATATCAAGACCTTATTTGAGAGGTATATACTGAACTCACTTTTTCATGGAAAGCTACTAATGGCAAATGTATTAAAAAGGTGGTAGGCATTAGAAATGATGGTAGAATATTTGTAGTAACATAAATTATTCAAGAATTATATCACGTATGAATGATTCTAAGTTTTTGTTTGGAGTTGTACCTCCTCTGCAATAAGTTACCCGTCATCTCTTATTTATTCCTTGTGAATGTGAAGAGAAGCATCTTTGTCTGTATTTTCACAATTTATTTCGTTTCTTACATTTTCTGAAAGTAGGTCTTAACCATTATTCAAGAGCTGGACTAGAAGGATCTTTTTTTTTCATTATAGTGATGTTTAGCTTTGATAAGTCCTCTTTTTCAACTATTATAATGAATACAAGAGTTATAGAAGTGTCTTGACCTTCTGTGACCTTCTTAGCTCTCTATGCCTGTTACTAAAAATTCCAATAAAATCTAGAATTTTCTTGTTTTATATGACTCAAAAGACAATAAGTTATTTCTTTTTATTTTGAATTACAGATGGCGTCTGCTCAAGATTCCAGATATGGCCAGAAAGATACATCTGACCAGAACTTTGATTACATGTTCAAACTGCTCATCATTGGCAACAGCAGTGTTGGGAAAACCTCCTTTCTATTCCGATATGCTGATGATTCCTTCACTTCTGCATTTGTGAGCACAGTTGGGATCGATTTCAAAGTAAAAACAGTTTTCAAAAATGAAAAAAGAATTAAGCTACAGATCTGGGTAAGCCAAGATAATAATTCTGTTAACTAAGCAAGCTGTAGAAGTTTGATAGATAGCATTTAAACTACTGTGGGTTTCCACTGAATGTTATAATCTATATATTATTTGTATATATGGCAAAGTAATGAAAAAGAAATGCTTTCCTACATCATTTTGCTGTCTTCAACCCTAGAACATAACCAATATTTTTAAGGCATTAAAATTCAGCATAGTATATATTCTGAATTAAATTCTTTTAAGAAATAGCACAGACTGACATATACTTATAATCTGTGCAGCCAGGAGCAATATGTAGTCCATTGAAAGTTACATATATTATTACAGAGAATTTCAAAGTGCCACTTAGATACCTTTTTTGTTTTCTTGCTCCCCTATATATTTATATAAAGTTTATATTTTTATTATATAAATAATAATTTATAATTATTATTATAAATAATAATAATATAGGAGAAACAGTAGTAGATGCGTAACAGAAAGTATAATTTTTTGCTATGTCAGCTAAGCTTGTCAACTAAATCAGCTGAACCCTTTTCCATCTTCTACTGATGAAGGAAACCCCTTGTCTTTTTCCTACATTTCAAAGATGCTATAAAAATTCTCAATTTTTATAATAGGTGTTTTTTTTCTGCAAACTATTCTCTTGAACAGAAAAAGACAACAAAAATTTACTCATGCAGCAGCTAGTGATGCTTATATATCCTAATTTTTGAGTGGCAGGGTGATACTCAACTAGAGAGATGTTAGCAGAACTTTTAACAATGTGGGAGCTGCAGTTAAAGCTTCAGGTTTGTGCCATCTTCCTTGGGTGCCTGAGGATTTTCAGCATTTTCTTTGTACGATATTTGTAATATCCTGATTAACCAAAATATCCTTTTTCTGTGCATGAATACAAGTAATTTAAGAATATATTTAATGGTAAAAGTCATTAATCTGGGGAAGGTTTGGATCAAACATGACTGTGCCATCTAACATGTTTTAAATGGCAGACAAGGTGAGTTTGTTTTTAATGTGTAATAGTTCCCCAGCGTTTTCATTTTTTATGTGAAGACTATGATCATCAAGGTAAAGCCAAAGGTGAATTTGCTCCTTTCCTAGGCTTCATCTCATTCATGTCACCTTAACAAGGCTACAGCCATTCTAATCTCAAATCATTAGTTGGTCTATGCCCTCTGGTTACAGGAACACAGGCTCTTTTCTTCTCAACTTCTCTATCTTTCTAAGCTTAATACTTATTGTTATCAAGAACAAAAGAGATTTTGCAGCACACTAGGTTACTATGCATCATGTGTTCTTTTCTTCAACTTCAGTGTTGATGATCACTAGGTAATTCTCACTGTCATTACCTTATTTTTTGATAAGAGAGCAATAAAACTGTGTTTACATTATTGTCTTTACACAGCCCTTGTTTTAATCACCAAGTAGCCTTTACGATTGATTTTATTGTTCATGTATCTCCTAGCTAAATCAGCAACATCCGTTTATAATTTTGTATTAATATGATTAGTTTGACATCAGTACATTTCTCATAATGTCTCTCCATGCCAGATTCCAATTACGTGCTTGGCTCAAAGCAGTCTATTAATTAAATGTATTCAGGGCCATCCATGGCATAGAAAGGATATAGCAGCTGTATTTTTGCCAGCTGGAATAAACTTCCAGTTCTAGCCAAATGAACGTTTTGTTGGTCTTTGTATGGCAGCAACGCCACAAGGACTGCTTTGAGAATGACCCCCTTTGTTCTGCAGTGACAAAACAGTACAGGAGAATCCTTGTCTAAAAACACTTGCAAGTGAAATGTCTGAGTGAACACAAGTTTTTTGTATCCCACAGAGAAGAGGGAGCAGAGACAGAGATAATGAAAAGGACCTTCCTGAAGGCGCTTATCAGGATGCAGGGCTAGGAACAAGACTCTGTATCATGCTTTAAAGCAAAAGCTTTGTTTCCCCAGCCAGCCCTGCCTCATGAGTTTTATTTGCTTGTTTGTTTGTTTGTTTTTTTCCTTCCCGTTAAGATTTTAATGCTGGTTCTTAAAAACCGTTGTTGCCAAATGAACTGAAACTGTAGCAGCACCCTATTACTGTTTGAACTTTTGAGATGAAGTATTAGAATATTGTGTTGCAGTTAGGCTTGCCAGTGTAAACCTTCGACAAAATCAACTAAGTATCTCAGAAAGCTGTTGCAGTACACAAAATGTGAAATAGAGCAGTATCACCCATCTCTTAAGTTGTATCAACAGTTGCATTATTATTTACATGCAGTATTTGCAAAAGTAACACCTTTCTATTTTAATATTTATTACTTTTTGTTTATGCAAATGCATTTCCAAAATGAGTAGTTCTGCAATGTCTATTGCATTTCAAACTGCAATTATGAAAGACCATTTATATTACATAACATATAAAACCGATAAAGTAATGTGAATGTGATTTAATTCTGGATAGAAACGTGCATGAATTTGTCATACTTCTTTCAAAATCAGTGATGAAGTATTTGGGAACATCATGCGATTAACAATTTTAAGTATGAAATAAACCATTCTGAAAAATCTCACAGATTTACATAGAAAAAAATGGAAATGATGAGATCAAAACTGATCAGATCAGAGTGGATCTAATAAACGTTCATAAATATTTAAAGAGATCTGGGAGGCAAACAGGTAAGACCAGGCTCTTCTCAGTGGTGTGCTGCAATAGGATAAGCAGTAGTGGCCTAAAACTTGATCAGAGGAAGTTACATACTAACATGTCCAAGAACTTCTTTATGGTAAGGGTGACGGATCATTGGAACAGGTTGCCCAGAAAGGTTGTGGAGTAGAGTATCCTTATATGAAGATATTCAAGACTCGGCTGGATGCCTACCTGCATGACAGTACAGTAGGGTACCTGCTTTAGCAGGGGGTTTAGACTCAATGGTCTCTTGATTGTGTGATTGTGTGATTCTGTGATGTCTATACCACAACTTTAACTACTTTTTAAAATGTATTTAGGCAGAAATAATTAATTTCAAACTGATTTCAGTACCAATTTTGTTTGAGGAATCTGGTATCAAGCTTCCCCTCTCTGATCTGTATATTATGAAATTTTTCTAACTACATTCTTACAGCAGTATTTGCACAGTTTCGCTCAAGTTGCAGCATCTCAGTGAAAACATCAAACAAGAGCCCTACATTTTCTTTTGCTGATTAGATGTCTTTCACCTGGGACTAGTTAGAGTTTATGGACTATATGCAGTGATCATACACAAATAAAAGATACCCTCTCAGAGAAAATGGTGTGAGAGCTGCTTGTGTCAGCATACCCTTTCTAGAATTTTGTGTGATGTTTCATTTGATAACCAAAATCTTGCTGTCTTCAACTGTCACACAATTCTGTAGTCATAGGGCATAAGGACTAAGCGAGCACTATAAGATGAATGGGGAAAGCAAAACATCATTCAGTAGTTAATTAATAGTACTTGCAAAAAAGTCAATAAACATTAGACACGTAATTTTTTTTGCTTGAAAAGCTCCCTAACAGTTCTCTAGCAATAAAAAGATGTTCAGTTAAAAAGAGAATAATTTCTTTTTTGTGTCAAGGTAATCTCTGGAAATAGGACCATGAATGAAAGTTACCTTGATGTTAGAGTCCTAAAGGAGACTACTACAGTACCTTGGAAGTGTGGATGCAGTTCACTATTCCAGAAATAAAAGTGACATAGGCTATAGTGTCAATTCAGTAGTCACTGGATAGATTGGTTTAGAAGAAACGTGGTGAAAAATGAACCTATGAAAATGTTTCAGAATTGAGACTAGAGTGTAGAGATAGATAAGAGTGAATATAGCAAGTGTTTCATCACAGGAATTTCAGCCTGATTTTGACACATTTGACTTCATATGATAGCCCCCATCAAAGTTTATTTGAAAAATGTATCAAAGTTTATTTTATATCAAAGTTTATTTTACATACTGATCCTGTAGGTGTTTAAGGCCAGATTGGATGGGACCCTGGGCAATCTGACCTAGTACTTGATTTAGCAGTTGGCAATCCTGCCTATGGAATGAGGGTAGGAACTTGATGATCCCTGAGGTCCTTTCCAACCCAAGCCATTCTATGATTCTATGACTTCCTAGTTCCTTTCTCTGGTGCTGGTGACAGCATTTCTGCTGCTTAGAATACAGCTCTTTTAAATGAGAATAGGAAATGTAATGTTGAAAATAAGATTTTGCCCTTTCAGATTGAAAATCGAATGTGTATCAAGTCAAGCAGTAAATGATTTGAATAAATCAATATGGAAAGCTGAGAATTGCTGGGCTTTGCGATTTCTCAGGATCTGTGTGTAGCAGTAAATTAAACATACCGAGATTATCTTTTGGCACTGAGTTTAGCTGGCATGGAACAGTTTTTGTCCATATGTTGTACTTCTTTTAGTTTCTGAAAGAGAATGGCTACATCCAGACTTTGTATGATATGGTCTCTGGCCTCTGCTAACTTCTGAACCTTGCCCAGGATCTGTTTGACAGAGTGCTAGCAAGCTTGGGCCAAAGCCATGCCGTAAAGCATGCTGACCGTTTCATAGTATAGACAAATTCCATGGCCTAGAAATGCTCCCTGGCACAAATCAATTTACTGCTCAAGGCATACCTGAAAAGGGCAGAAGCTCTGGCTAACATTGGGTTAGGCTGGCCAGCAGTTATGGTAAGTAATGCAAATCATTCACAAATGCTTGTCTGTAAGGAGGCTCACAGGGAACCGTTCCTAGGCAAAAGTAGTTTGTTAGGAGCATGATTGTGATGGCTGGAAGGAAAACACTTTCTGAACCTCCCCTGTTAACTGAAACTGGAATGTTGTACAACTTTTGTCATGGTTTAAGCTGGAGTCCAACAGGTGAATGATATCCTGAAATATTCCCCTTCCTCTCCTTTGTTTATTTCTCTCTTTCCTACACTGTGCATATTTTTGAAAACACATAAAAAGTGTTTATCTAAAAGTTTCACAAGAGGATCCTTTTTCGTACTGCTG